GGGAAAAAGACAAATTTCCAAAAGGGAGCCAAAGGTAAATGTTGTTCTTCCTTCTTCCTTCTCTATCCTATCTTTCGAAGATAAACCCTAACCCTGAGATACAAAATAGGTACTACGTACTCTTTATCATCATGGACTACTACAGTATGTATGATCCAAATCTGGTTCCACATCAATGTACAATCACACTTGAGACTATCCCTGACCCTCCTTCGCCTCCTGTTGTTGTTGTTGTTGTTGAGCAGCCTCAGCAGGAGGAAGAGGAGGAGGCTGAGCTGGAAGTGGCCGGCGGCGAGGTTGTTGTTGTTGGCGGCGCGAGTGGAGTGCCCGTTAATAGATAAGACATGAGAGGGCGCCCATTGATGTTGCAGCTAGCAAGCTTTGTTTTTTGACTTTTTTATTTATTTATTTGCTTCTTCTCTTGTTTACTAGACAATTTGCTTATTATTTCGTTTGGTTGGTGTCTATGTAATCATCTATAACTCTTCTTGTTGGCTCTATTTGTGGTGGATATGGGTATGGTTGTTGTCCTAGTGTGTTTCTCTAATTTTGCTTTTCCTTATTTTTGCTCCATTGTTGTCAAAATGGTGATGCATGAAAACCTCGGTGTCAATCAGCCTGTTGAGCAGTAGTATATGAATCAAAGTCCTGGTGTGGATTGTTGTAAGTATGGTGTTTAGGTATCTGGATTAGGGTAATAGGATGATTACAGACATAAATAGGGAGGGAATTAATTAGACGAAGATTGGGTAAAGATAGAAAGGACTTACCGGTAACGATTTAGGAAGAAAAAAAAAAGAAAATTAGGGTTTGAGAAGATAAATTTGAACTATTCTAATTATTTTTTATTTGATTGGTTGGTAATCCTAACCATAGAAATACCAAAACCCCAAAAGATTTTCAATTTCATACTTTTGTTTCTAAATATTAATGTCATGTATGTCTTATTCTACAAATAGCATTAGTAGAAGGGGAAAATTGTATCCTACTAAATTTTTATTTCTATAAATAGAGATTGAACTTCAATCTCATGATACTAACAAAAGATTGATCTAGTAATAATACTACTAGCATTGGGTTGTTGTCACACCCGATACACTCATACCCCTGTGCTTCCTAAAATACCCTTTTCAATGCAATTAACCCTAGCTAAACCTCTCCCACCCTCGGCTCACCCTTTCCCTTTAGATTAACTGAAAACTAAAATTTATGGAACCAAAATCGAAGCCGCCGCAAACTCCATCCCACCTCCATCGTGTAAGACCCAACCGCAAATCACTGGCATGAGTAGAGGCAAGAAGAAGTGCTCCGCCATCTATCACCACCTCCCCGAGCCGCAACCGCGTTGTCGTTCCGTTGCCCCCAGCTCGTCCGATCGCGTCCCCAGAGGTAAGAATGGCGGCACTGACTTCCCTTTCCAATCCCAGGAGAGCGTGTGCTCTTATGCTTAAGAGAGGAGAGTTGATTGAGGACTTGGTGGATATCTGTAATTCGAGGAGGCGAATTGTGTTGTGAAGGCAGGGGAACTGGAGGAGAGAGCGGCAGAGGAGAAGGATGTGGTAGATAATGAGGGAGAGAGGAAAGGGGAAAGGATTGGATCATTGACGAAGGAGTCGAGCAGAGAAGCGGCTGACGTGGTTGCAGTCAGTGGCGGACCGAGAAATTTTACATAGGGGTGTCCTTTTTTAAAAAATAAATAAAATAAAATTTTAAAGTAAATAATTAATAAAAATTAAATCATTCTTAAAAGAGAATACTTGACTCGTACAAGTTAAAAAAAATTCACGATTTGTTATCATATTCGGAAATAATTATAGAATACACTTGGTGTCTACACTGCTCAAAAAAATTATATCTGTATATCCTACTAGACAATCATTCACGAACTGATCACATATTCGATTCTTAAACTTGTTCTTGATGTAGCCCAAAATTGAAAAGACCTTTTCAACAATTGTCGTACAACCATATAATCAATACAAATTAAGGTCGGTAACTTGAAATTAGTTTAATTGTTAGATTTTGAAAATAATTAGAGATAGGAAATGATATTTTACTATTACACAGTGTTTAAAATTGAACAACATATGAGTGATAGCGTAATGAAAATTATGTTTAAATATAATAATATTGTCCTAGGTTTGAATTATCCAAACTACCATTTATATTTACATAGACAGACTAAAAAATTTAGAGTAGAATTATCATTTTTTCAAATTTCAGGGGTGTCCCCCTCTATCAATTATATTTTTTTGTCCATATGTAAATTAGCACCGAGGGTTGGATAATCGTTTTTCCAAATTTTAGGGGTGTCCCGAGACACCCCAAACTCCATTGGGTCCGCCACTGTGATGTGATCCTCCAGAGTGATCAAAAACCCCTCATTGGAGTCACCATCCTTGGAGTCCAAGAAGAAGGGCCCAACTCAGCAGAAGGAAGAAAGGAATTACTTGAGGACTAAGTCATTACTTTTGGGCGGATTCTTGGAAGATTCTTGCTTCATTTCCTTTCCCTTTTAAGCGGATCCTTGCTTTATTTCCTTTCCCTTTTGGGTAGATTATTCATTTATTTTCTTTCCCTTTTGGTATTTGAATTCCTTAATTGATAGGAGAGGACTTTTAGCTTTAATTAAGGGTAGATACATTGTTTTGTAACCTCTATAAATAGAGGAGGACTTGCCTATGAGTGAGGCATACTTTGATGATTATTGATATTTCCTTTGTTCTTTGAGCTTTAGCCTTGAGAATTTTCTGCTTTGTATCAATCAAGTTTTCCCCTTGATTGTTGTCAAGCTTCTACCCTATATTGATAGAGTCTTCTCCCATCTTGTGTTGAGATTGCACTTTCAATTCCATCACATCCCCAAACAAACAAAAACCCCTAAAAATCTCTTTTCCTGTTCGTTCTTGGAGCTGCGTTACTTTCATAACTATGGGTACCAGGTCTGTGCTCGTATCACACTGGTTGGAGTAGATGCGGCACGGTTCTTGAAGAGTTTGGAAAAGTGAGGGATTGAGATAGATGAAGGAGAATCAACGAATATAAAAGTGACGAAGCCATTGGAGCGACTAGAGGAGGGCCCAGAATTTGCCCAACCGTTGCTAGAGAACTGAGAAGGAAAATGTGAATGGAGATGGATCTTTTGCTTTAATTGTATTGTTAAGTGAGATAAAATTGAGCTTAAAACTCCACGTTCGTCATATGCCACCTTCTCGGTCAAAATTGTGACTGTTGACTACTGACGGTCAAAGTTAAGGGAAACTAAACTTTGGGACATAAGTGACGCAAGACAAACACAAAGATACAAGTAACAGAAAGCCTAAATTATAGGCCTTTTTTGGTACTAGGCCAAATAAATCCTAAGCAAATACCAAAAGTCAATCCAAATCTCACTAAGACTAGAAAACAATAATATCCTGATTCCTGAATAATAACTAAATACTTAATTAATCTTTCACCAAAAAATAAATACTTAATTAATGTATGAAATACTAAAAATAGATGAGCACAAAAATTGCCCGAATTATTACGCTAGCTCGTCTTATAACAATGATCTTGCTATTCACAAGCTCTTTGTGAAGTGTCACTAGAGCATGACCCGCACGTACAGTGAGGCGGCGGCAATATGGTTGTGGCCTCCTCCCACAACGACCTCAAACCAGTGTACTAAGCCGAGACGTACGGAAATGTTCTTTGTTGTGATTGAGTTATTTGTCAACGCAAATCATTAGGGGTGTTCAAATTCTTACGATGATAATTACCAAACCAAATAAGTTTAAATTCTATTAACCATGGAATAAAATATCATAATCAAACCGTCCAAACTAATACAACAACCAAATTAACCAAACTAAAGTTTTATTGGTTTGGTTAATTGGTTAACCAATATAACATCCCATTATCATTAATGAGAAAACAAATCGGTTAGTGAATCAATTCGCAATTTAAACAATGAATAACACATAACAATCCACATACTTATAGTTAACCCTTAACGTAAATACATGTGACAAATACAATTATCGTACATTTGACTCTTGAGTGGTTATGGAAAGCATTAAGTATGTGTATATAATATATATTAGATATATGGCTAATTACGTAATTGGTTAATTTGGTTTGATTGGTTAGGAGTGTCTGAAACCAAACCAACCACTGAAACAAAACAAGTTAAAATTTTCAACCAAACCAATTATCTAAAATAACCAAACCAAATTAACCAAATACTACCGGTTAAAACAGTTATCACGGTAACCACACCGTTTAAACACCCCTACAAATCATAGGCACGAGACGCGCTTCCTTGTCCAAAGTGATCGCCAAATTAGACCATATAGCACGTGTAGTTTCGGCAAAGCGAATGCTGCTGCGAATCTCCTCATCCATGGGTGTCCTCAGCCAGCCTTTTACCATGGCGTTGCACTGATCCGAAGCTCCTTTTGGAACAGGTGGGATGGAACCATCCAGCAAATCCTTCATATCCAGGACCCACTCTCCATAATTTGTGTCGGTAAGGACAATACCTACGAGGAGTTGACCTAGCTCATCAAAGTTATGGAGACTATAGGTTGGCGACAAGGCATCGCCGATGACGTTCTTCACATTGCCAGAGCTCGTTTCTTTGTCACCACTCATAGTGATCTATAGGCGACAGAAACAATTGATTCCTCTAGAACTTACAAACGCTCTGATACCATAAAAAAGTACGAGACGATGTTTATGTGGTATCCTCGATAATTTGAGACTAGTCCATGGGAAAGGAACGCTTTTCCCGGATTAGGGTTTTGTTATTATTTCTCAGATGATTAGGGTTGTATTATGAGATTCGGACTCCTCCTTGCACGAGAAGTTACGTCCACATGCATGGGCCGCAGGCCGATGTGAACTACCCTGGCCCAATAGTATAAGACTGTGGGCTGTCCGAAGTCCGAACAGCTTTTAGCCTAGTCGTAGTTGGCACAATAATGCGACTAGGCTTAGGTTTCAGTAGCAATTAAATTATGGGCCGGCAAACTGAAATCCCAATCCGTGGCGGTGCCGGCAAACTGGAAGCCCAATCCGTGGCGGTGGCGGACAACAGCAACCCACCCGGTACTTGTTATTATTAGTATAAATAGGGTGTTTTTCTATCATCTCTCTCTCTCTCCCTGTGGAATTTTCGCGAAAGGTAAACGTTCTCCCTTGTCTAACCAAATCTTCATAAACCCTAACCCTAAGATAGACTCGGTCCTTGTCCGTTTTATGGCCTGATTATTATTTTGGTTCGATTGGTTGTGAAGAAGTGGGTTTCTCTTTGTAAACAGCGGAATTTTGAATTCGGCGATCGAATTGATAAAACCGAATTCTTCCTCCTTGCCTTTGTAAAGTAAAATCGTAATCAGCTGGCTCATTGGGTGCAGGTTGTAGGTACTACTCTTATCATCATGGACTACTACAGTCTGTATGACCCAAATCTGGTTCCACATCAATCTATAATCACGCTTGAGACTATCCCTGACCCGCCTTCGCCTCCACCTTCGCCTCCGCTGGTTTTGGTGCCACTTGTTGTTGTTGATGATGAGCTCCTTCAGCAGGAGGAGGAACAGGAGGAGGCTGATCAGCCGGAAGTGGCCACCGGCGAGGTTGTTGCTGTTGGCGGCCGGAGTGGAGTGCCCATTGATGGGTAAGACTTGAGAGGGCGCCATTGATGCAATCGCTGTTTGCATATTGCTAGCTTTGTTTGGAGGTTTTTGCTTTTCTTTTTGTTCCTGGCTGTCCGTCCGTCCATGTTTACAGACAATGTGCTTATTCCGTTTGTAATCATCTAACTCTTGTTGGTTCTGTTTTTTTCTCTCTTTGTGGTGGATCGGATTGGATCGTTGTCGTCCTAGTGTGTTCTCTAATTTTGCTTCATCATTCTGCTCTTTCATGTATGTTTGTTAAAGTCTTGATGAAATCCTACTTAAGTTGAGCCCTTGATGGGTGATTGGTTCACAGTTTCAGCTTTGCTGCAGTACCCTTGTTTAACAATACTTGCTGAGTTTCAAAATACGATTTCAGCTGTAGTACTGCTGGTTACCGGTGCTTGCGAGCCGAGTCGAGGGAGGGTACCTTTGAAAGTTACAGAGTCACAGTGGGTGTATTATGAGAAACAGAGTCGCAGAGAAAGGGCTACTACGTACATTTCCTTTTCCTCCATGGATTGATGGTTAGTTTCAGAGGCAAATTTTGAAGCACCCTTTGTTCCGTTGGCCAATGTAAGTGAAATCTCCTGTCTAGAGGTATTGTAAGTTGTCTAGTGTCTGAATTACATATAGCTCCACTCCTCTCAATTACTTGATCTTTGAGTTACGCGTATGTGTTAATTTTTTTTCTTATGATTCTACTGTTTACTTGCTAGTTGTCCTATGCTGATTGAGGGTAGTTGCTGAACCTGTGTTTGAGCAATGGTTTCTATTAGCCGCCGTCTAGTCTTCTCGATTTTTCCATGCGCGATTTTCCCGCTCAACTGAAGAGCTCGCCGTCTTTCTAACAACAAACTCCGACGTTAGATGAACTTCCTGAAAAATGCTTTGGTTGCTATTTCAATGAGTATTGAGGTCCATTTTTGGGTATTCATTATTGCTCCCTACTCTTCCATCTTCTACTCTTTGCTATGCTTGTCTATCATGCAGGTCTAAATTGCACAGGCAATTTGCTGTGTTTAGTTGCTTGTAGCTGGTTTCTATTTCTTGTGCTCTTTCGGATTGGATTTTGCTACAGTGCTGATGATGAACGTTGGCCATTGTACAGTTCGACTTTTTAGCGGTTCGGTTCGATGTACGAGGTACATCCAACCCAACTATGGTGCTCACAGTCACAGGCTTTTTTGTGAGAACAAGAAGGTGGACAGCGAAAGCCACGCACGTACGCCTTCAATTCCAAATCCTTGAGCTTGAAAGCATTGCACAAGCAAGGCCTTGCCACAAATCCACAATCCCTCTGCAGCTCACCTAGAGGCTAGAACAGGGCAGCACTGTGATCAGAACCAGACAAATTACTGTTGGGCCGTCCATATCGGCCTGACGAACTCCGCTTAGGAGCAGCCCATACATATTATAGTTGTGGGCCAGTTGCACAAGCCCATCAACGCATCCAGCATGACCCTCCATTTTCCGTTGTACACCGTATGTTAAAATATCATACCAAATTTATCACTATTTGCTATTTGGTATTAGAGAATTTATACAAATGCAATTGTAGTTATGCTTTTTATTGGCACCTCAATTTTTTTTTAATCCAACTCATATTACTTTGATTGTTCAACATCAATACAATTAACTTGCAATTGATTTTTTAAATTTAATTATAATTACATAAACACTTAGGTATAAAAACAATTTATAATAAAAAAATAATGTTGCCTGCATTCTATAATTGCATCAAGCTTGCAAAGATGCAATGTCATCTATATCAATGCAACTGAAAATGAATGTGATGTAATAATGCAATTCAAATGCAATTTCAATGCGCTCTTATTATTTTTTTAGTTATTATGATGGGGATTAATTTTAGGATATTACTCGGTATTTCATATTAGGATCGGAATATATCAAAATACGGAGACGACATTTCTCACTCGTTGACAACTCGCAGGCCCCCATCCAATCTATGCTTAGCTTCCAAGTTATCATAGGTCACTCTCGTCTCCCAGTCAATCTCGATTTTGTTATTTTTTACGGTAAAATATCTTGTTATTTTCATGACACAAAAAAATACATTATCATAAGTTTTTTCTCTGCCTCAGTCCATCGAATCAAAGATTACCAAGAGAAAAAATTGAGATATCACAATCTCGTCTCTTCTCCTTGTCTCTACCTTAACTTTAGGCAAAGTTGAGACCCTTTACTTAGTCTCGTAACTAGGGACCGCAACCAAAACAGAGCCATATATGCCAATCATGACTGCACCGCAAATGGTTTGCGTTTAACCACTAACCGCAAAGTGCGGTAACGTTTAACCGCGTTACTAACCATTCTAATGGTTTGTGGACATTTTGGTCTATGGTTATGCCACTGTGTCACAGTTAAACGCACTAATCGCGGTCAACCGCGTCAGTACTTGGTTAAAATGCGATTACATGTTGTTCGGTTGTGGTTGCAATCGACCCATAAACCGTAAAACATGGAATATTGCTAACAACGACCGTAAAATATCCTATTTTTCAGTTTGCGATTAACCACTAACCACGTGGTTTCGGTACGGTTAGCATTTTAACCGCAAAACCACAACTGATTCCCACCCCTACGTCGTAACCCCAAATAAGAACCTCCGATAAATCCATTGAATAGAGACTTCAATTGAATAATGGGGGCTGTTATTAGTTTTCTTAAACTTCCTCACCTTAACTTCTGATCACCAAGGTTTTCAATCATGCAATAAAACCTAGAAGCTTACAGAAAAAGGTTCCGAGAGGTGTTCAAACTATTAATTTTTTATGTATATATTTAATTATTAATTACAAAGATAATTTATTTTGTATTCAAGAATATTGATATCGTACCAAAATATATTGAGATTGAGATACCAAATTTATTTAGGGATCAGGTTTGATTTAAGGACACAGTTCGATATTTGGTACCAAGATACCAATATCGTACTGATTTCCACCCCTACCTTCAAAGATTTTAGACAAGGTATGTGTTAAATCCCGGGATTTGAAAAATGAAGAACTGGTGACGGATTTGGTTCATTTGAAATTCAAGAAAATTGTTGTTTGGATTAATATTTTATGAAGGTTTGGTTCACTTAGTATCAAAGATTTGGTTCATTCTCTTAAATCTAACCAAATTATGTGGGTTTCCAAAATTCGTGGAGTCCACCAATTTTGTACAAAAGAATCCAAATCTAGGCAATACTATGCATAATGCATATAATAACGTACAGTAGAATCATAAGCATCAATGGTAATATTGTAGAAATATCAATGACCATCATAAGCATCGAATATAAAAAGCATCCATAAATAGTAATAGGCATCGAAAATCTCATATATAAACACAAGCATGAGATGAAATTATAGCATGCATTCATATAATAATCCAGATCACATCCTAATACAATCAAATTTGACTAGGGTATCACCCAAGTTAAGTGTTACAGAGAATTTTGTGTGTTTTTGCAGCCTTACTAAGCTAGAGAGTCATGCCCTCTATTTATAAGGGAATATCTCGTCCTAAAACAACCTAAACTGACTAGGGAAGAGTCTTCAAAACCTTGTAGACTACGTAAACTTCTTCAACAAGGCCAGGCAAAAGCGACAACGTAGCGACGGTCGGGCCCGTTGCTCTTTTTCTTAATTGGCTTAGCTTCTTGTTCCATGGACTTCGTCTCCTCACGATTTGGTCACAACTTATGATATTTCATGTGACGGCGGTTGGACTCGATGCTTGAGCCGCCACATGTTTCTTTGTTCGAATGGGTCGAGTCTTCTTCATATGGGCTTGTTTGTGATAATGTACCAACTTGTAGTTGACTTCCCGTCAATTTAACCTTCTCTTTATAGCTCATTTTGTCTTCCAGAGTTCTTCAATGTTTGATCCAATAATCATTACTTCCTTAGGTTGCTCTGTACCTTCAAAATCATAAAATATATCAAAGAGCACAAGAACACATCCTAGGACTATTAAAAGCTCATTGATCAAATAGTTGAGATTTAGACAAGAAATATCATTGAAATGACTAAAGATGAATTGATAGAAGGGGAAGATGTATCAAGAATGAGAGTGATAAACACTATAAATAAAGTGTCATAAGAAATACCCCACACTTGAACTTTGCTTGTCCCCAAGCAAACATTATTCACAACCATACAATCATCATCAATCAACTCTGATCTTAGATAATGGATCATAAGCAACTTACAAGGTCAAAATAGCATGAGAGACTCTATTACATCAATATGCAAGAATATCACAGCACACAATCCATATATCAATTACTAATCATGCATGAGAGTCTCAAAACGTAAGGGTGAAACTTTTGATAACCATTTAAACTTCGAATGCTTTCTACCATCCTTTTGACATTACATTGAAGCACCTTTATCAAATTCAATCTCTTTTTTGAAATTTTCTTCTCCACTCAACCAACTTTTTTTTATTTTTTTTTATTTTTATTTTACTCACGGTGGAGAGCTCTTTTGAACTTTACTCTTATTAGTCGAGCAATAACTTAAAAGTTCCTTTTCCTCAACTCGTGTGGAGGGTCAATGAAAAAGGGGTGTCAGAGCCCTTAAGAACACATACTCAAGTAGGCAATCAATTCGATGGGTGAAAATTTTACTTGTCTTAGAGAGTAACTATCATCACCTTGTAGGACTACCTCACTAAAGCTCAACTAGTATCTCTTTCAAAACCCCATTTTGGTGAAATGAAAAGATGCCTCACATGTTGTTTTTACCCCACACTTTATTAGCATGGCAAATTTTGGAATAAAACAATGTCTTGATAGGAAGAAATTTTGCATTTTCTAAAGGTTCAATTCACCCTTTTAAAATTTTGAAAAGCTGGACTCTTTTGCATAATCAGAAGTCTTTAAATAGATCACATAATATGACACTTAAACACATCAAATGGTCATTACATCCCATTTACTATTACATCATTCATAGTCACTACACTAGCCTTCCTAGATCAAGTGATGATAACTAGACTCAATGATTCAAACTAAGATGAAAAGTGATCATGCTTATAGGGGAAGACTAATGTCATTGGGTGGAAAAACATCTTTATTTTGAGGCTTTTGAGCCTTTTCCTTATGTTTTGCTTCTAATCATTCTGTCCTAGTATCTGCTTCTAGAATTTTAGTTTTAGAGTCTATTACCATTTTTCCAAGCTCGTTATTTTTAATTCTTAATTCTTCTAGCTCTTCAATAATTTTTTATTCTTGGATTTATCATTTAGTTTCTTCAGAACTTGATTTTCATCACTTAGCGTTGCAATATCCTCTTTTAGTATATTCAAAGTTTTGAAGAGGCTTGGTTTTCCAGATTTGTGGCTCAGATGGATCGAGAGTGTTGTATGTTCCCCTCTTATCTCTGTTTTGATCAATGGAGAGGCTCACGGTTTTTTCCCCGCTTCTAAAGGTCTCCGCCTAGGAGATCCCATTTCCTCAGCGTTATTCATTCTAGTCATGGACATCCTTTCTTTTATTCTATCTAGACTGAAGACAACGGGGATGATCAATGGATTCTTTATGGATGATCTTCACCAACGTGGCGAGGTAACTCATCTCTTATTTGGAGACGATACCCTTATATTCTGTGATGTTTCTCATGAGCAAGTTATCCACATTCTATCTACTCTTGTCTGCTTTCAAATGGTTACTGTACTGAAGATTAACCTTGATAAATCTATCATGTATACTGTCGGAGATGTGCCTGAACCGAGCTTCTACGCTGTTATTTTTGGTTGTAAATGGAGCAGGAACCCACCTAAGTATCTCGTATACCCACTTAGTGTTAAACCAAATGCTATCTCAATTTGGGATCCGATTATTGCTAATTTCCAGGAAAAGCTTGATGGTTGGAAGGGCAACTATTTATCTGCTGGGGGGAGATTGACTCTTAATAAAGCTTCTCTCACTAGCCTTCCAGTCTACTATTTCTCCCTTCTCAAAGCACTGAAGAAGATTATTGAGGACCTTGAGGAAATTCAAAGAAATTTCATTTGGAATGGTGTGGGGGATAAATGGAAATCTCCTCACGTGAGCTGGACCATTTGTAAGGCTGCAAAATCGAACGGGGGCTTAGGTATTTGTGATCTGGCTTCCTTCAACTCGGCCCTTCTTGTTAAATGGCTATGGAAGTTTGCTACTGAAAAAAATAGTTGGTGGAGAGAATTGATCAACATCAAATACCCAAATACTCTCTCCTCGTGGCAGTTGGCTAATATAAATTCTGGTTTTTCAAGTTCTGTGTGGGCAAACATCTCCAAAGAATATCCTTTATTCTGGAAGTTTGCTCAAATCGATCCTGGAGGTGGAGGCCATGTTTCGTTTTGGCATGATAAATGGATCTCGTGCTCTATTCTTGTTGTTGGCTACCCGAGGGTTGCTGTTGCTGCCTCTAATCCGGCTGCTCGGATCGTTGATATCGCCTCCTTCACCGATAATGAGGTAACTTGGAATCTTAATTTGAGTGTTAACTTGAGAGGTGGGGCGAAGAGAGAAAGAGAGAATCTTATGAATTTGTTGAATACTGGAAATTTGCATTTTTCTACTAACAGTCCTTGCAGGATTACATGGTTACCGAAACCATATGGCTGCTTCTCTGTTAGTTCGACATACAAACAAATGATGTTAGAGAAATTCCCTGATATTCAGAACTTTGAGGCTGATGCTATTTGGAAGACAATCGTTCCAAGCAAAATATGTTTCTTCCTTTGGACGCTTTGGCACAAGAAGATTTATACCATGGACGTTCTCAAGAGAAGAGGTTTAGCTTTAGCTAACATATGCGCTTTTTGCTGTCAAGAGGAAGAAAGTGTTGATCATCTATTCACTAAATGTGTTTTTACCCAAAACATTTGGAACACCATCAAGAGAGGGAGAAGGATTGCTGGCAACTTGATGGCGATATCTCGACAATCATCAGTAATTGGCCTTCAGCTGCCCCCAGCAACATTGATGATTGGTTCAATTTTTGCATCCTTCACGCTACTTATTGGCTAGTGTGGTTACAACGAAATCAGCGTATCTTTCAAGATGTTCAATCTCAGGCTTCTGTCATTGCTCGAAAAGCATTTAGGCTGGTTATTTCTTGGTTGTCTACTCATGGCAAGGTTGCTAAGGATTAAGCTTCAGTCTGGCTAGCGGAAACCTTTTTTAGACTCTAAATGCTTTTTTCCTTTTGTCTCGTTGGATGATTTTTTTTAGACTCAGCGGGGACGGTCTTAGTCCGTCTGGTAGAGTGGCTTTGTTTTAATTTTAATCTTTTTACCTTTGTTTTTGGATTTGGTCTGTTTCTTTTTTTCTTTTGTCCTTCTCGAACAACTCTTGTTCTGTTTTTCGGGGTTCCGTTCTTCTGAACCTCGGTTTCGTTTCCTCTTTTTTATTTTAATATAATCACCTTTATAAAAAAAAATCCTCTTTTAATTCCTTAATTTCATTCTTACTTAATTTCAAATCCTTTTTTACTTTGTAGTACCTATCTTTCAATTTTTCAAAATGATTTTGCATTTCTTCATAAGTTTTAACTATACTACTACGAATATTTGGACCACAATCACTATCATAAGTTGGAAAGAATGAACATACCTCATCTCCATTTGATCTTGACGAAGAGGATTCATCATCATGATTGGCAATAGCCATATAACCTTGTACTTCACTTTCATCTTCTGATTCACTCATAGCCACTGCATAAGCTTTTTCTCTACCACGTCCTTTGTTTGGACATTCAGCCATTACATGGCCACTTTTTTCACACTTGTAGCATTTTGGTAACCCTTGATCTTCACAATCACTTTCCATTTTATTTTTCTTCTTTTGACCATCAGAAGGTTTTAGCTTTCCATTTCTATTATTCTCACGAAAATAGAAGGAGCTATCCCTTGTTTTCTTTCTAATTTTTTTTTTAAAAAAATTGAATTTGTTTGAATTGATGGCTTAATCAAAATCATCCCCTTATCCTCCATCATTTATGACTCTTTTCTCGGAGGCCTTAAATGATAAACTATTATTTTTCTTGTTATTATCATCATCATCTTGAGCTTTTAATGCAATTTCATGACTAATTAAGGATCCTATCATATTTTCTATACCAAGTGTAGACAATGTTTTGCCTCTTCTATAGCAGTTTTCTTAGGCATCCATTCTGTAGGTAGACACAAAGAATTTTCCTGGCCTACTAAGCATTGTCATAAGTTTTACCTAAAGCACTAAGTATACTTACTATTAAATTAAATCGTACATACATATCAGAGATAGACTCACCTGGATGCACTTTGAACATTTGATATTCATGCACCAATTGATATATCATGGATTCTTTTACCTCGGTTCAAGCAATATTTCCAAGGTTTTCCAGATCTGATGTGTCGTCTTGCACCGATTCACCTTATTGAACTCGTCTGGACATATTGCACAATATAAGACATTCGTTGCTCTAGCATCTAATTCCATATTCTTTAGATCATCTTTTGACCATGTGTCGGGATCATCTTTAATATCACCCACACCTTTCTCCACCACATTCCAGTTACCCAAAAGGAATAGTTGTATCCATCAAACCATGGTGGTCTATTATATGAGAGACCCTCCATGTGAGTGGATTTGGAACCATGATTCATAGATGACCCACTATCCATGGTTGGTATACGGGATTTCAGTTTTCTCGCGGATCTTTTGATCATTTTAAGGTAGCCAAGCTCTAATACCACTTGTTAGACCAAGAGGGGTCAATAGTGAATACTTTTGACGTGGTCAATGCACAAATTAATTCCGATTTCAATAGTGAAAGATTAGCACTAGCTTGATTGAGCAACCCAAAATGGTTTGCCAAGAATCCCTCTTGAAATGATTAATTTGCTATAACGAACTTGTTTCAACTATGATGAACTAGAATATGATAGTGGAAGTATAGAGAGATGGAGATGAGTCGGGACATGCGATTTTAACGTGGTTCGGCCAATATGGCTTTACATCCACGTCCCGATGATAATTACCTCTATCCCGCGAGAGACTCTAACTTTTATTAAAATAAAAGACTCTCTATCCTATAAAATAAAAAGAACCTTGACACAACGCGTCAAGAACCAAATAGGTGCAACTCCACACCTATTCACTCTTTAGTTAATCCCAATTCTAAGCTACCCACTCACTCAATCAAGCCAACACTCTTAGTTTAGCTTGATTGAAGAGTAAACCACCTAGTGCAACTTCCAAACAAGAATTCACTCTTGCTCTTGCACTAACCCCAATTAAAAAATACTCTTTCTACCCTAAAACCCGACCTACCTTGACTATCTCAACTTCCAAGATATCGAGCTACTCACACCATGAAATATGATCTCATTATTTCGCTATTACAAGGGAGAAGAGAGCTTTGAAAAAGGTACTCTAGTCTATAAATGACTCCCCTATTTATAGTGAATGCAAGATTTCGTTTCCTTTCATTGTAATCCTTTATGTGGCAAGTATCTCCTTGAGTTGATACACTCTTCGCTTGATATGGTAACTTCTTGGAGGGCAAGCAATCATTTTGAATTCTTTCCTTTTCCTAACAAATCTTTTCATATCCTTGATTGTGATATTTTCTACTAGAATTGTTAGTTCACCATTATAACACATATTCAAAGCAAGTTATCTTATGCTAGTAGAATTGCTAAGTCAAGCTTTTGACTCAACATGAAGGACCTGGCGCGGTATCCCTGAAAAACCCGTGAATCTCTCTCTGGGCCCCACCCATCCTCGTCCTAGTGTTGTCGAACCTACCAGGTTGTCCTCCTGTATCTCCTGGTGCTGCAAAGGAATGGTATGGCACGCAAAAGTCGCCTGGTTGGCCTCGCCACCCTGCGGACAGCCTGCTGCCCCCCGGTCACGTGTCTGCCCGAAGCGGTTTGGTTCATTTCTCGATTCGATCGCTACCGGTCCACTCCCAACTCCGATTCGCCCTGTTCGGTCCGGTTGAATCACCTAGGCCCGATCCGACACTCTGGTTTGCTCCACCCCATCCGACTCGGGGGCCCGCTCAGCCCAACCTCCTGGTCGATGCACCGGGCCCGGCTGATCACCTTTTAGGCTCGAGCCCATTCCCAGCCATCCAAGCCCATTCGGCTCTCCCGCACGTCTCAATCCTTCGTCATGGGCCTTCGGGCCTGGCGGCCCGAAACATGGGTACTAAAACACGTTGTCGTAGCCCGGAACTTTTTCCTTTCCACGTATGGCCATGATATCTTCAGCCATCGGGGTTGGTAGCAGCCCAATCCCGTCACGAGGCCCACCAGCATCTCAGCCCACCCGCTCGAGGTCTCCTTCCCTAGGGTCGCCGCCGACTTCGTCCCGGTGTCAGTCTTGGTCGTTCCCGTCTCCATTCCCGTCTTTTCGACAGCCTGCTCCGCCACGGTTTGCGATTTGGTGATGGCCATTATTCTTCGTTGTCCGCCCTCGGTTTAGAGTAGTGAAAAACTCAATCATCGTAATCGGGCTCTGATACTAGATGATAGAAACCCGGATTTCGGGTTATATCTATTGCTAGGGATTTGGGGTAAATGAGTCAATCACCAAGGTGAAGATCTACTTCTTTACCCCGTGGAAATGGAATAGAAAGGAAGAAGTGAGAATTGGCTGGGGAAGGGAGAAGAGAGGCTGCAGCGGCAGCAGTAGAGAGGAAGAGGGAGTTCGGCAGGGAGCGAAGAAAAGGAGAGAGATTAGGAAATAATTAGGGTTTAATATTTGCTTAACTTTCATACCCACATAATAAATGATTTATATAGTAATCCCACAATTTCTTACTGTTACCCCAACTTATTAATCCCTCAATTTATCTCCAAATTCCTAATCAAATCATTAAACAATCATAAACTAACAAATGAGTCCAAACGGTAAAAAGATCATAAATGCAGGGTTCTATTAGGTTTCTGATGTTCTGGGTTTCCATTGAACTTGGCTTAATTTGTCCATTTTGTTTCAGGCGGTAGAAGTAAATGGAATGGATGAAAAGAGAGGTTATGAAAAGGACAATGATGTTTCTGAAGACATGTGGCGGTCAACATGTCAATTAAAATATAAAAAGAAAAAGAAAATCATCACCATATTGCCCTGTGACAACCATCAACATCGACGCCACATGTTTACAATCCCTCTCAACGCCATTTGTATTTCTATAAAATTGATTGATATATAGAATCCAGGAAAGATTTAGCGAATAAATTGTATGTAGTCTATTTTTCACAATGATGTTAATTAACTTTTAGAAAGAGGCATAGCAATTAGCAAGCTCGAAAGAAAATTAAATTAAAAAAGGAAGAACGTAGGAAAGGAAGTGTAAAAGAACTGAAAAATTCGAAGTAAAAAAAAAACAGAACAGAAGAGAAAAATTCAGAACGTATCCAGCAGGTAAGCCAAGTGGCAACCTTTTTTCTCATTGTAAAAGAAAAACTTTTTTTTTTCCGTCCATGTGAAGAAAGAAAAGGTAATTGTGTTACTTTGTTAGTAGTATATATAGGGGATTCTCTATCTACTTAGGGGTGGTTTGGAGAACAGGATTCAGGACGTGGATTCACTGAATTCGTAGATTTTGTAGAATGTTATGTTTTTTGGTTGTTTGTTGTACTGTGGATTCTAGCTTTAGAGATTTCAAATCTCTAAAATCAGCGGATATCAAATCTCTCATA